TCCGTACTCTCAGGCGGATTCCATCCGGCCCCATAGACTTGTGAGCATCCAGGTGGTGTAGCAGGTCATTAGCTGCTTCCTCCTGGATTATGGGGGCTCCACTGTGCTCTCTGTCCCTGTCTTCCAGCTCAGGGGGCTGAATACCCTGGGGGTAACTCATCTGGCTATTAAAGACAGAGGCAAAGAAGGCATTAAGTACCTCAACCTTTTCCTCATCCTTGGTGATAATGTTCCCCCCCCCGCCCCGCATCCAGCAAAGGATGGAGATTCTCCTTGGCTCTCTTTCTGTTCTTAATGTACTTGTAAAAACATTTTTTATTATCTCTTACAACAGTGGCCACATTGAGTTCTAGCTGCGCTTTTGCCTTTCCAGTTTCCTCTCTGCATGACCTAATCAGATCCCTGTACTCTTCTTGAGTTGCCTGCCCCTTCTTCCAAAGGTGGTAGACTCTCCTTTTTTCCCCCTGAGTCCCAGCAAAAGCTCCCTGCAGCCAGGCCAGTCATCTTCCCCGCCAGTTCATCTTACAGCACATGGGGACAGCCCACTCCTGTGCCTTTAAGACTTCCTTCTTGAAGCATGCCGAGCCTTCCTGGACCCCTCTGCCCTTCAGGACTGTCTCCCATGGGACTTTCTCAACCAGTGTCCTGAACAGGCCAAAGCGTGCCCTACAGAAATCCATGGTAGCGGTTTTGCTGGCCCTCCTCCTTACTTCGCCAAGAATCGAAAACTCTATCATATCATGGTTGCTAAGCCCAAGATGGCCTCCGACCACGGCATCTCCCACAAGTCCTTCTCTGTTTGTAAACAGCAGGTCAAGCAGGGCACCTCTCCTGGTAGGCTCACTTTCCAGCTGCATCAGGAAGTTGTCTTCCACACAGTCCAGGAACCTCCAAGACTGCTTCCTCTCTGCTGTGTTGTATTTCCAGTAGATGTCTGGCAAGTTGAAGTCCCCCACGAGAACAAGGGCTAGCAATTGTGAGACTTCTGCCAGCCGCTTATAGAATGCTTCATCTACCTCTTCATCCTGGTTGGGTGGTCTATAACAGACTTCCAGCACGACATCTGCCTTGTTGGCCTACCCTCTCATCCTTACCCATGAGCACTCGACCTTATCATCACAACTGTTGAGCTCTATACAATCGAAACACTCCCTAACATACAGAGCCATCCCACCGCCTCTCCTCACTAATTGAGGATGTGACCTCGGCTTGGGAATGAATACAGGGAAAACAAGGCAACAATCAGAAGCCAGCACATGGAAACCCTGCAGTGACATAACACAGCAGAAAAGGCAAAAACTTAACATTTTGAAATAAAGAAAGAAAAAAGACCACCACCACCACCACAGACTTCAAGACAAATTTAAAGCTTTTACTCACAAAGTCATCTTCTTCATTTAAGTTATAGTTGGGCAACATAGCTCCTTCCATTGCAGAACTCTTGAATACACCTTTTATTTTGTTGCCTATTCTGCTGATTCCAAATGATTCTCCTCTCTTCTGTGTGGTCCTAGGATTACAGAGTTCACAACACAAGGCATATTATTACACAGCAGCTTGGGTAGGCCGTTGCACATCAACTGTAGGTAAGAGAAACAACTCTATAAACAAGTAGCCAATATATTTACAATTCCACTTAAACTGAAATTCATTTATAGCAAATTTGTTCTGTGATCGATGAGCAAAATTTCTTGGTAACACTTAAGAGATAGGAGATTCCCATATGCTTAACCATGAGCAAACATTAACACTCTTACAATAGTATCCCAGTAATGCAGGACATAGAATAAACAATCAACCATGCAAAACAATTTTGTTTTGACAGCAGAAACTGTTGTATTGCTACAGGCATGCATGCCAAGGAGGTCACTAACTCTGTCCTTTTCCGTGTACTCATATTTAAATATTTATCCACTCTTGCCAGTACTGTAAATGGTGTCCTTAGATGCATTTTTTACATAAACATCCCAGAATTTTACAAGGTTGTATGATTCAAGATAGATCTCAACTTTTAAGCATTAGGGACAGACAAAAGGAATGTGCAAGGAGCAAGACTGAGAATGAGAGAAAACAGATGCAACTGAAGAATCTTGGCTTGAAGAGCCAGTCTGAGTGAAAGATGAAGACTTTCTGAAGTCTTGCTACTTATGACAAAGCATCCAAAAAGCAACAAGATATGGAAAAAGAAAGATAACTGGGCAGGAAGTGCACTCCTTACTGAGAACAGATTTTATAGCATTCTTATGCCCTTACATGAGACCTGACACCAAAGATTATTTCTTACATAGAAATGCTAGTAATTCCAGAAAGAAAAAAGGTTTCTGTTGAATATGGAATCAGCCTAAGGTTACTTACGGTAGTTTAATAAATACGATTGATAGGCGAGTTAAAAATCAATACAGTGAACTGCAGAATCAAAGACTCAAAAGAATTTTTATAGATTACTGAGATTAAAAGCACAATGAGAATCATAGAATCGTTTAGGTTGGAAAAGACCTTTAGGATCATCCAGTCCAACCATTAACCTACACTACCAAGTCTACTCTAAGCCAATCACGGATAGACTAGACTAAAACCTGTCCCGCAATGCCACATCTACCCGTTTTTTGAACACTTCCAGGGATGGTGACTCCACCACTTCTCTGGGCAGCCTGTTCCAATTCTTGACCACCCTTTCCGTAAAGAAAGGCACTTAAGAGGACCAAAAAATATCCTAAGTGTTTCTTTTTCCTTTAAAACAAAAAATTATTAACTACTGAACAGTAGTACCAATGGAACAGCAGAGACCATCAGGTAAAGCATCTTCATCAGCCATGAAACCACACTGCTGACTCAAAATGTGCATGTGTGTGTTGCCGACAATCTTCCTGTTTATAATTTTATCCAGACTGTGTACATGACTAAAATTGCATAAACAATCCACCATTTTTCCAAATATTTTGCTTTTTCTATCTCATATTATTATTATCAGTTCCAAAGCAGACAGATACCATTTATCTTACTTAATCTCTGCTAACCAAAAATAAGGTTGCTTGGCTGTTTGTAGTCTAAATCCATGTTTGAACAATTTTACTCATTTTTAAACAACTTATTCTACATGTTACTGTGCTGAACTGAACTTTTTCTTCACAATGGGGACCTACCTGAATCTTGTTCAAGAACTTAATAACTGGGCTAGCAAAATACAAACCTTATTCAGACAAAACTAGACAGCTTTTCTAGAAGGGTAATACTTCAGACCTCTGGCTTGACTCTTGAAGAAGTTTTCATCATTCCTGTGAAAACTCGTGCAGTTCTCAAGATGTTGAACAAAAACATTAATTTGCACAAGCTCAGAGATTTGATAAGAGTACTGCAGGCTCAGATCAGTTCTTTCCCACACTGATCGTGCTCCAGCTGAAGGCAGAATACAGCTTTGCCTGTAACTGCAGTACTGAGCTGTATGGAGCCAGGATTCAACCTGGTAGCTGGGAACCACCCCTTCCTGCCCCAGTGCTGAGCCGAGAGATCACGCCTAATCAATACAGAGCAATCACTAAACTGGAACAAGTATGAAGTGACAAACTAGGATGGGATCTCTGCAGGAAGAGACACAAATTCAGAACAAACACTGGTGAATAAGAGGGTACACAGAGACATGGTGGACAACACGTGGAGAAAACATAGACTGGTCCGGCAAAAATCCTTGAGCAAGCATGCAGAGCACAAACCAGATTAGATGACCATGGAAAAAATGTGGGGATGTTAGCAGAGACAGACAACAGGATGATCAATCTTTTGAGGATGCTGAGCAAAGAAAAAAAAAAAAACCAAAACCCAAAAAAACCCCCAGGTATCAGGATGAAAATCTAATAGATTCACTGGTTAAGCAGAAATAGGAGAAAGAACTTAAGGCTAGGTAGAAGGGAAGAGACGGGACTAGGATATGGTCAGGTTCAAGGCATGAGGGAAGAAAGACGAGAGGAGGTGGCCAGTTTAGAACAGAGACCAAGTCTTTCAAGACCTGTCAACTCTGCTACTGTCAACAAATACATATACACAAAACTCACTGGGAAAAGTATGCCCCTCCCTCTAGTGCTGATCCATGTAACAGCATTATTAGATCGTCATTCTATAGTTATTGTCTTGGCAGGACCCTGAGCAGAGAGTCTACAGGTTCCAACATTTCTGATGAATGATGTGACAACAAGAGGTTGGAATACATTTTTCTTTTCTTTTTTTCTTTCTTTTTTTTTAAAAAAAAAGGTCCAGAAGTCACACATACATAACATTAAAAAATTAACAATTGTTGTTCACTCCACAGCTGGGAATTGCAGACCAAAGATTGCATTAGTGCCACTGTGCACTGTGGCATTCTTTAATTGTGGATGGTTGCAAAATAATTTTCCTACAGGATCCCTGCCTCATTCAGCACACTGAACAGATCTTTGCTAGTGATCAGCCAGGGCTATGCAGCTGAAGAGTGCTATTGTGAACCTCTGCAGGTCAAGAAGTACCAGCCAAGTCATATGTATCAGACAAGCTAGATATTTACATGCATTTGAAGGCAGAGTGCCATTTTCTTTTGGCTGACTAAAACCACTACACCCAATTAGGAGAAACGCTGAGCTCATAGCTGCACTTAAAAATCAATGAACTGTACTTATATCTCAAGTACTTCTCATTGCTCAACATTCTAGCAAGTTATAATACAACACACTGAACTGCCACATGAAAGATAAAAAGTGTCTATATACTTTGCTTCCTAACCTGTAAAATGAAGTTGATGATGTTCCCTCAAGACTCAAGAATGGTACAAGTAATATATGAAATACTGATGCTCTGACAAATTCTAAGGAAAAGCCCATAACGAAAAAATTGTTTTCTGAGTTTGGATATCATGAATTTAAAGAGGCACAAATAATGACAAAACAAACGACTGAGCAGCTATTAAGGCATTAATGAGTGACCATAGACTACCTAGAGCAAATTATAAAAAATAGCGTAAGTTGTAATCAAACCTGTAACAGTCACAAGGAAAGCTGCAGAGAGAACTAATTTAGGGACCTGCTGGTTTTGAATGCTTGATAATATTCATAAAATAGTTATATTTTCATGCAGTGTTAGGCAATGATCATCCTGGACACAGCTGTGCAAGATAAAACAAGCAGTTGATAAAACCTCAAACAGGATCTGGAAATGTGACATGGAACAAACAAAATTTTGGAGCAGCTAGCAGTCACAGGCCAAAAAAAAAAGCTTCAAGTTATACAAATATATTTCAAAACTAATAAAAACAGACAAATTGTTAACAGCAAACAATATTAATATACTGCAAACTTATGAAATTAGTAATTAAGCAATTTCTCAACACTTGTAAAGAGAACATGGGGAGCAAAGCTTGTTGTGGGGAAAAATGCAGTTTAGTCCAGAGAAGACACTCACATTTTTACAAATACAATGGGCAGTTAATTGCTGTTACAAAGGCTGCGTGATGCAGTCATGATAGATACAGTGTAACTAACACACAACATTTATCGAGTGTTAGACAGACTTACCGGAAGTCATCCAAACTCAGGCTACTTCTGCAACAACAGGCACATAAATTACCTCAGAGCCCAGGAGAAAATAACATTAAAAGAAGAAAAAAAAAACCAAGCCCAAAAAACCATCCCACAACCAAATTTGACAGGCCTGCCCCAACAAAACTGAATAGGCTTTGACCCTCACTACAGATTATTAAAAAATGTGGTACAATTAGGAGTTCCTGACCTAAAATCCTAAGAAAGTGAAATGCGAACAGTACCTGCACATTTCATCACCACAATCTTGGCTTTTGAATTTAAAACCTTAGTTATTGAAACTTTCAGGTCTTCTCTGACATTCAGCACAAGTGGCTACCAATTTATAGAGAATGACTTTCATTCTTAAAGTTACCTGCAGTGCCAAACAGGCAGCTAACTTTTCCCATAACCTGTGTTCAGAAGTCATGTAGGAATCTAGTTCACTTGGCCAATACAAAGAAAAGGCTGTGGACTTATTTATGTAATAATGCCTCACCCCACCCCCCCATATTAGATATCGTAAAAAACACTATTAATTTTTTTTTTATTTATTTCACAGATTTTAAGAACTGTCATGTATTTTTGACATTCTACATAACCTGGTTCTACATGGAACCAATGCCTTGGCCATCAATTCAGCAATTCCAACTGAGATGTTTAAATGGATTAACCAGAAACAGAGTCACCGCGCACATGATTTTAATTCACTGGCGCTACTGAATTCTGGACAAACTGATATGGCATTAAAATACTCAAATTTTAGATTTTGTTTTACAAGAGGAACTGATTCTAAGGCATCTTACACTGACTTTAGTCATGTTAACTGTGAAACTGGAAACATAACCTACCAAGTTGGAACTGATGGTGACAATTACATTGCATACAACTGTTTACCAACTTAATTCTGTTGTTTTTACTCCTAACCACTCCCCAAAATTGTTAACATCTTTTCTACTCGGTCCTTTACTTGGTCCTTTTCTACTTGATCCTTTACTATGTTTTAATTTTATTGCTATCCCAATGATGAGAAATCAGGATGCATCTATTTCTATATGTAGTCATATGTAGAAAATCAAGGCTATCCAGAAATCTGGGAGTTTATATCACATGCAGGCTTTTCTTTTTTTGTTAGACTTCCAACGCAAAATACCTTTAAGTAATGTAGTAACATATTATAAATACATACATATAAGAGAGGGAGAAGGAATTCTTGTCCTCTCTTCCATGCACCCAAAATTAAGTCGCCAAAATTGGAACTTAAAACATCCATTTTCATTGGCCACACACATTAAACATTAGGTGGAAAACACCAGTTACAGAGTTAAACTGTTGACAATCACAGCTAGTTATCCAGTTATCATAATATCCTCAATGTGACTTCTTTACACTCCAGAAACACTTGGGACTTCTCGTCTATTACCTTAGCAGTTTTCATAGCACATTATTTGTCCTATCTGTACACAAAAAGCTATGATTATTTTGTACAGTTCAAAGAAGTGATTCAAACCAGAAATTACACGCTGATAGTCACTTCTTCCTACTTTCCCACTTGTATTTTCTAGAAACTACTCTAAAATCTTCTTGTCTTACAATAAGTGAAATCTTTCAACACATTACCCACATGTACATTCCACTGGGATTTTATATCTACTACTTGATCTGACTTTCTAACCAGCAGTATCTATGCAATACACACACAGTACCCCTAGCAAAGCATCAAAGATATGGAAAACAAAACTCATCTCTTTGCATGTAGTTTCTCTCAACTGGAACTAATGCTAGAATAGGGAAGAGAAGGCAGAATGATGTATGTGCATATGGATAACATCTGGAATAATTCCCTAAGTAACCTTTTTTTAATTTGGGTTTTTTTTTCCTTGACAGTGACTGTCCCAGACTCTGCAGAGGGAAACTCCAAAGCAACAGGCAAACTACTTGCAGATAGGACCTCAGATAGGAGCTGTTTCATGGAAATAATCACTGAGGCACCACTTCAGAAACATGCAGTATCTCGTATCATAAACAGCATATATACTCAGGGCATTCAAATTGGTCTAAAATGTAAACCAGATACATTTCAGTAATGCTGTGGATACTGTTTGAACTCCAGGCAAATATGTTGTAACACTCCCCAAACAAAATTTGCTTATTTTGTAGCCAGAGACATATTTCAAAAACTCTAGGCAGAGACTGCCTGCAATTTCACCCTTTCTGTTTTGGAAACCCAAGCACCAGGGAGGTGACCTAAATGTTTCATACTTTAACTAGATTTAAGAACTGTATGACAGGATACTTTCAACCCTTGACATGAGTAATTCTGAGAAAGATACCAGAAGGCAGATTTAAAGGTCTGGATGAAACCCTGTAGCCATCTTTGACAGAAGCGGGAGTGTGTTTTAAGGTCACTATTCCTAGTGGAGTATCACATAGGGGATAAATGCAGTTTGGTCTAGCTGCCTCCCATGCCTCTTTGGTAAGAAACAAAAGCTTGTCAGCACCAATCTGAGAAAGCACTACACCGCAGCTTAAGTCCTGGATCTACAAGAACTATAAAGATTACGTAATAGATGTCACTAATGGAGATATATTAAAAAGAACCACCACGTAGTTTTTGAAGAACGTTAGCAGGGGAGAAAGGGATCTCGCAATAATACACCTTACGGTAGGCTGCAAATCAAGAGGGCTGCTGCTAGGTGTATCTCTAACAAAAGCAGAAAAAGTTAAATAAATTGCTGAAGAGTACTCTAAGATGATAAAAACTAGCATTTTCTACAGTACCATGGATCTTATTTCATACCAAGAAAGAAAGCCTATCCAAATTAAAGACTGTCTCATTGAAGTTCTTCTTTTGGCTAGACCGCTGGGCTAGTCCATGACTGAGCCATCCAGCATAGAATGAAAGACAAGAAATTATGAGACCTCAAGCTTCCTCAACCCATCCCCACAGTGGAAGATCACCCAACCATACCACAGGAGATGCTCCTCTTCTCCACAGGCCCTAAGGAGCCTGAAGGTGGTCTGTAAGTATACAGTCAAAAACCCAGAAACAAGGCTTCTGACACTACATTTCTGCAATGAATGGGGAGAGCTGGGGGACAGAAAACACATTTGACCTAGGAAAAATGGCAAATGCTCCTTGTCACAACAACAGGAGATACCCATTGCATGACCAGGTTGGTCAGACGCAGGGTATGCTGTACCCATCCCTGTAAGACCCGAAATCCAAGACAACCCAGGTTTGCACCAACAAAATGGTATTCATATATACAGTCAATTAAATCACCACTTTATTTCCACGTTATGATATTCTCACTGTAAATTTATTTTTCCCTTCCCGCTTCTCAAATGTTGAGGTCTAAATCACATTTTAAATTCTTTAATGTAAAACACCTCAAAGCAACGGAGACATCTTCTATAATATTGCTTGCTCCATCAGTATGTAATTAGTGCATTTTAAAAAAAAGTAGAGCTAAAAATTTAGTCAAATTAGTATCAGGCAGTAGCAAAATTCCTATGGTTTAATATTTTATTAAATTA